TGCCCCCGCGGGGCGCCGTCTTCCCTCCCCTCCCCCGGTAAGGGTCGCGATCCGCCCGAGCTTGTCCTCTGCGGGGACGCAGAGGGAAAAATTCCGGAATTGTGAATGTGGGGAAGGGTTCCGTATGGACCAATGTGTAGTTTTTTTTTTCCTGCTGCATGCTTTGAATTGTTGAAGCTGTTATGAGTTGTCTAGCTGAATTAAATCGTGTGGCAGAAAGGTACATCTCATTTAGGTAAGAGGGACATAAAGTGTAAAAAGAGCAAAGAGAAATTGTATAGCAAAACAGCCTAGTGACCAATTTGCAAAAGGTGTGACTTGAGTTCGTTTATTTTACACAACAACTTTACTTTTTTTACCAGACAGAAGTCTTACATGCCTCGGATACGTAAGTGGTACGAATAGCTGTAGTGACTGTAAAATTACAAGGACAATAGCCTGTCCCAGTTTTAGAATGTGATTTTTGCATATTACCACATACAGGAGTTTACTATAACAATGGGACCCTGTTTTCTGCCACAAAACGTAACAGCAGCGAGAAGAAACATCTGATGCCAAATTATTGCTATGCAGTCAGATTGCCCTTGATAAAATATGACACATCATAAAGAACAGTTTACAAAAATGTGAAGTAACTGTAAATCGGTTTATACAGAGCAATTGCTGTGATGTTTTAAAATATTAAATGTGAACCTTTTTTAACCTGCAAATAGCAAATTAATTTAAACATGAGAGAATAAAAACATGTAGAGATACATGACTTCAGATTTAGTTTGAAGTTCTTGAGGGTATATTTATTTTCTTTAGAGAAGGCCTAAGAACTGTTTCATACTGCATTTCAATGCACATTTTAAGTTTTAATTGGAAGGTAAGTACTTCACAGGAACTGTTTTCACTTTGCATGAGTGGAGGCTGGTCATTCCATCCAACATTTATATAAAATACGGTTGTTATGAAAAGCTTGATGGTTATAACTTGAGCTGTAACTGCCATACATTATGCACTGTTCAGTGGAATAAATTGTGTGCAATGACAACATATATCTAGAAAATTCGCATTAAAGGGAAGGATCTGTTAAGTCGGCTACTCTTTCACTAAGCGTATATCTAGAAAATTCGCATTAAAGGGAAAGATCTGTTAAGTCGGCTACCCTTTCACTAAGCATGGATTATACTTGAAAGTGATTATTATTTTATCCAGAGTACTTTAAAATGCCTTACAGATTAAAGCAGGAAGCAGTGCATTTTGATGCAAACCAAAATGTAAGTTGCAGCAAAGTGTTGAATGTCCTCAGCTAACTGTACTTCACATGGTTTCCTTCTCCAACAGATTGGGAAACAGAATGCCATTTGATGGAGCCAGTGAACCTGACCATGCCCACGGGTCATTAAAGTCTGAATCAGACATTTTGCAGAACATACTACCTGAAAATGAGAAATTCTATTTTGATCTGTCCAGAATTATTGATAGGTGAGTTTCTTTATTATCATAAATACAAGTGATGATGCACTACTTGAATTATGTGAAAAGATCAGTCATATTTTAAAATTGAGAAATAGGAAAGGAAGAATCAATTACAGTAAAAAACCCACATGGCCTCTGGTTGAATACTGGTAGCAGTAGGAATGTCTGCAGAAATGCCGATTTCATTGCCATTCTGGCATGATGAATTCATTCACTTCCCCGGAAGGGCTAAAACATATTGTGAAAATCTGGAAGTTGTTTTATTAAATTAGCTTAATTTAATATGTACAACAGATAACTTAAGGAAAGCAGTATGTTTACAAAATGAACATTATCAAGATGATATGAACCCAGGTTGCATTGTAGAGTTTATTTATTGTCCATTTCAGAAATGCAAGGCATGCTGATGGAATTTTCACCAGTGTCTACAGCCATCTTTTGGCTAAACTTGCTGTGAAGAGATATCTGCATTCGCTTATTAGAAAACGAGTTAGGTGAGGTGACACTTACATTAGGTAGAGTTTTTTCCTGGCTGGCTTCATTGGCAATTTTTTACCCTTCTGTACCTAAGTTATAATTTTTGCGATTTAGAGATAATGAAAGAGAAACTGATATAATGATGGTGGAGTTGAAAATCCAGTATAACAACTTAGTGGTGTTTGTTACTAAATGAATACATTACTGCTGTGAGGGGTAGATTAACAGACACTGCACATAGCGCTGATAATAAATACTGGCAATATTATAATGATTATAATGCTAATTTGCTGATTTTTTTTCTCTGGTAGTGTTTTTACTAGCTTGGTAAATGAATGGCAAAAGTAAAATACAAATGATTGATTACTCAATAGTTACACAGCAACAGGGGAATTCTCAATGAAATTAAGAAACAATTGGTTTACAGTGAAAAAAAAAGGGAGTGATTTTTTTCCTACTGTAGAACATATTGCCAGATGTTTGGGAGATCTGTATTATTGAAGGATTTGAAAAAGAATGAGGCAAATCCATAGGCAAGGGATCTGTATGCAACTTCCAAACCAGGACATTCATAAACTAATGGCCACAGGATGCTGGAAAGTATCACTTTATACTTCCCTTGTTTTCATGTCTCTAAGCAGCAGCTACTGGGCACTCTTGGGAACAGAATAGTAGAATACTTTGGTCTGACCCAATATGGCAGTTCCTTTGACTGCCTACTTCATATGCTCAAAAGCTGAGTGAAAATTAGGTTCTTAATTTATGGCAATGCTGCCTTCGTTCCTGAACATATAGTGCACTCACTATGTGTTCATACACTGACTGCCTACTTCATATGCTCAAAAGCTGAGTGAAAATTAGGTTCTTAATTTATGGCAATGCTGCCTTTGTTCCTGAACATATAGTGCTGGTATCTCATACACTCTAAATGAACGTAGATCATTTAAAGCAGGACACACTGAGGCTTCCCAAGATTATACATGAAAAATAGGCCTACAAATTCGGATTTCACAAAGTGTGTTTTGTCTCCTGATACCTCCTTAAAACAAGCATTTGTAGCTTGTATGTATGGATTGCTGCACTCTTACTTTCTCAGAGGCAGGCTCTGCCCTCACGGAGTTCAATATGAACAGTGACCAGGTCCTTCAAGAGCTTACTGTGAAACCAGTCTGTACCTTGGCATGGTACTAAAATATATCTATGCAAATGATAGAAATTAGAATAAAGTCAGTTTGTTAAAAAGGGTAACCAGGGATATGAGAAGAGACAAGGAGGGAGTCATGAAATCCACTCGGGCATTTGATCCAGCAGAATTTCTGGGACGGGGACTCTAGAAATCATTGAGTATGGATTCCAATTGCATGGACCATGGCAAAGTTGAGCAGGAGAAAGAAATCAGTGGAAGGTGTGCCCAAAAAGACTGAATACCAATCCTTAGAATTTGATCCTTGTTACTAAATAAGTAGTAAACAATAGAAGGAGTGGCTTATTTCAACAGAAGAAAGTCCAAAGTCACAGTTGGAAATGAAAGCTGGAATGATAATTTGATTTTATGTAGCTAATAAACATTGTAAACTTTTTATGTAGCTAATAAACATTGTAAACTTTGTTTCACTCATTCAATGATATCTTATTTTAAATGGATTTCATCTATTAATTTTTTTTTTTTAATTGTTGTATTGCCAGCTCCCAGGACAGTCCTGTCAAACGCCACTCTGACGCTGTCTTCACTGACAACTACAGCCGCTTTCGAAAGCAAATGGCTGTGAAGAAATACTTAAACTCAGTTTTAACTGGAAAAAGAAGGTACTACAAGAAAGCAGATATAAATTGTTTCCATACTTCTATGGTATTAAGACAGAAAAGATTTGTACGCACATATATATACAGAGAGGACAAACAAAAGGCAATTATCATTAATGACTTTATAATGTAGTTTATAACATAGTTTTCAAATACAGACAGCATTTTCTTCCAGACTGGAACAGACACTACAATCAGATTAAAATAAAAGAATAAAGAGGAGACAGCATCTGGCAATTTTAAAAAGCTTCTGACAGAATCTTAAAATGATTATATTTATTGAGAGAGCCTCTTAAAGAAAAATCCACAGAGCCATGGATCATGAACAACAATTTTATAAAGAAAATGCACTAGTTGTTGAAAATTTGCCTTTAAGTAAGCATATAAAATGAAGATTTAGAAGTCCCAGAAAGACCTAATCAACATAGGTGGGAAGTGCCAGCATGTGTTTTTATAGAGCTTACATTCTGCTTGTATATTCACTTATTTAGACAACTGCTTTTAAATATCATGTCTCTTCACCTGTTAAACATGCTATTTCATGTGATTTGTAACACTTTGGTACAAGTGTAACAAAACGTGCAATAGCTACAGTTAGAAGGCAGCTTGCTTCCTTGTTTGGTTTTTCTTCTGAGAGCAATCAAATTTGTTTCTGATCCACAACAGCCAGGAAGAGCTAAACCCCAATAAACTTCGAGATGAAGCAGAACTTCTTGAACCTTCCTTTTCAGAAAACGATGATTCTGTAGATGAGCTGCTGAGCCACCTCCCACTGGTATGCTCAGATTTTCTTTCCTCTTGCTATCTGTTACTTGACTTGTCCCATAAAATGATATTAATCATACATGAAGTGTGGCCTGTCAGAAAAGCAGAATCATCTAGGAGAGAGCCATGTTCCATGCAATGCTGCATGTTTCTATAGGAATTGTGTATGAATATAATAATAATTTTAATAACATTAATGAAGTTATCCCATGATTGCTGTTATTGAAAATTCCTAATTGAATGTCACTGTTAATAACACATCTAACTCACTTGGGTGTTTCAACTTGTGTGCACTGCAGCATAAAACCAGATTTGACTCATTTTTAATTACAAAGACTATTATTTCTTCAGAGAACAAACCCAAGGATATTTCTTCTAATTAAAAAAGTTGCCCCTAGAACTAAGAGGATCAGCAACATGAACCCTAAGTATTAAGAAAGCACTTGACTCCCATCTAAGGTGTGCTGCAGAGAGATCATCTGACAAGCAAATATTGTAGTTACTGTTTTCCATTTAGCTGCTACTATTTTTCTAAAATCATTCAGAAATACATTTCTTTGGTTTACTGAAATGTAAACCTGAAATGTAAATTGGAAGGGTAATGTAAAAGTGAATCGGACTTGGTATTCTCAAGTGTATTATTAAATTGATGATAAGATGGTTTTTGGTGTTCAGCTGTATCTCAGCTACAGGTAGGAAAGCAGCTGCTCTTGAAGATAACTACTATTTTTCTAAAATCATTCAGAAATACATTTCTTTGGTTTACTGAAATGTAAACCTGAAATGTAAATTGGAAGGGTAATGTAAAAGTGAATCGGACTTGGTATTCTCAAGTGTATTATTAAATTGATGATAAGATGGTTTTTGGTGTTCAGCTGTATCTCAGCTACAGGTAGGAAAGCAGCTGCTCTTGAAGATAACCCATTTTGGGGGGGGGGAGGGAGCAAAAGAAAAGACATTTCTCCAAACTGTTATATCCTTCCAAGACTGAAAGAAAATGTTCTTTACCTTTCCACAAATGTAGCAGTTCCTCTGAAGTTCCCAAAGATTAGAAAGGACATAGACATATGACTGAAGGAACAAAACAATTTTTAAGTGATGGGATTCAGGAAAGAAATGTTCTTTCTAGACAAGATTATTGCAAAAATATCTTCTTCTGGATTTTGCACCTTCTAAAACTTCTGACATTGACTAAGTGAGAGAGAGCAGTGGTGCCGCAGGTCATGGGTGTCTGCCTGGAAATATTTTCAGTCCTTTCCATTTTTATGGACTGTATGGATGACCCAGATCACCCTGTAGGTGAATTGCATTCTCGGTATTGGCTCTTACTGGTCATTTTATCGCAGTGCCTGGTTGCTGAGGTAGTGTGTATCAAGCAACCTAAATTTGTGTGTCCATTTCAAGGATACGGTTGTTTTCAAAGTGAGCTGTTTGCGCTGTAGGCCAATTTGCAGGGACGCTTTTCCCTAATCCTTCAACCTTTCTTCCTCATCCTTGTCTGCTGGCTGTAATGCCCACCAACCTCCTGCAAACAGCTCCATCTCACACTTGCCAGCCCCAAGCGCAGCAATTATTTTATATCAATAATTACTTCTTGTCCACTTCCTGCTTTTATACACCTCATGGTGCAACTGCTTATGAAAATGGCTTTTAAAACATGTCTCCTTTGCTTTTCAGGACCTCTGAAGTACACCCGGAAAAGTCTATGACAAGAACAAGTTATTTTTGAGTTCCACATAGTATTTCAAAGTGATGACTTCAGTCATCAAACAAGAACAAATATGTTGTGAAGTGAAAGTTGTGATATATTTGTTTCTTATGTAATAAAAGTTGATCTTTACATTGTAAATATTACTCTAGAGTTCTCTACTGAAAGCTGTACATATGGATGCCGGTTTAACTCATGAGAAGTCTGTGAGTCCATATGCTGTAAATCCTTTACTTCAATAAATTCATTTGAAAATGAGTGTGCAGCTGAAAAGAGCCCATCATTACTAATTAATTGGCTTATTTTAGGTGTGGTAAAACTTCAGATGAGCTTATATGATAATAAGGATACATTTCCAGATAGCTTCATAAACAAGTGTAAAAACATGAGGAGAAGAATGTGTGAAGTGCAAAAATGTGTTACAAAGATCTCTGAAGGTTACCGCTGAGCAAGAGGGAATGCTTTCCTAGCAGCTCACCAAGCAACTAGAGAAAATGAAAAAGCATTACAAATTATTTGACCTTTGATAGCATCTTTTCTTCCTGTTCACATTTTTGATATTTCACAATATAAAAATTACATTAAGATCAGAAATGTATCCTTTATTTTCAGTTGTGTTTTGGATGCTTTGGAGCTGACAAAGCATGCAAAGAATGCTATCCCTTGATTCATTTGATGCCTAAAGTCACCGGTTATTCTACATTTAATTATCTGTAGCTTTGATGATGAAACTATTCCTTATACATAATATAGATCTGAAGACACTTTACTATTTTTTCACAATGAATGTAATTTACTGAATATGCAGACAATAAATCATTTTGTTATCACGGCAAACTATTAGTGCTTTGAATCAGTGCTACACGTACCTGGAACAGTAGAGGTCCCAGTAAGTGCTGTCTCTACTATAGTAACAGAGGAAGACACAATTTTTTAACTAAGGTGTACCACATTATATTAGAAAAACAAGCAAGTAAGCCTTCAGTCCCTATTTCTTTATATCATTATAGCTTTGTATGGAACTGGAAATTTGCAGCTGATTTGCTCTTGTAAGAACTGATAGTTCCGCTGAAGTAAGGAAAGTGAGTGGTACTGCATGCACAACATATGAAATGCATATTCATGCATGATAACAGCCATAACACTCCCGAGACTCCCCTTCCACCTCCTAGAAAGAGATGAAATTTGAAGTAGACAAACTTATCAGACCTACTTACAAGTTCAATTTGGAATTTCAAGTATCTTTATATATCATACATATGCACACATAGTGCTAAAACTAATTTACAAGTTTCGCTTACAAGTTTACTGTTCTCATTTAGAAGGAAGCTTCAAATATGATAAAATTTGAAATTTATGGAGATGTTCTCATAAATATGTAGCCTTCTGATTTGCAACTTTTTGGGTATCGACAACTGCATGTCAAAAGGAAACCAGCTTGCACAGATCAGATGCTATTATTGCTATTTCTATCTAGCCTTGGCAGAATTTATTTTAGCCTAAGCCAAGAATGGTTCACAAAAGGTTAGATGTAATTTTGAAGTCTTTTGAAAAGTGATCTTCTGATGGTGATCCACTCTCAATTCCTACCTTATGAAAATCTGAGTAAAAAAGTGTCTTTGGAAATACTTGAAGATACTAACAGACTGATGCTGTAATACTTAATTGGAAATTGTCTCCGGTACAGTTTGAACTTTCTTGGGATTTCTGTGATAAGTAATCTTTAAAAAAAGAAAATGAAAAAAAAAAAAATAACCAGAGGCAAAGCTGCTTATAGTCTTTATACACAGAACTTTTTGTTTAAATATACATAATGCTCATTCCCTCAAGTGAAAGTAACAAAAATTGGACTGATCAAACTTTTGACTCCATAATTCCAGAAATCTTTTTTTTTTCTAAATTTGCCTTTTTTTATTTATTTCCAGTTTACCAATAAGGCATCTGATGGAAGAGCTTGTCTTCCGTGTCTAATGTTTCATCTCCACAATATTTTGTTCCCCACAGTAAACTGCAGAACCTTAGAACATGTATTTTCTCTGTTACAATGGAGATGGAGTGAGTTACAGAAAAAAGGGATGCTTATTAGGAAATTATATATTATAAAATACAAAATTAATAGCCTTGTTCTAATAACAAAAGTAATACTATGATAGCTTCCTCAGAGGGCTAGAAAATAGAGACCTTCTGAAAGGCATGCTAAATTTTATATACATTTTAGCAAAACATAGCACTGAGAGGAGGGATACTAACCTCCAGAATGATATACCTGACTTGGTATTTGTGTTAAAGGATGACTTTCAACTTGCCATAGCAACTTTTGATATTCTATAGGAGATATAAGGCCCAATTAATACATTGAGACTAGTTAATTGTGGAAGATGTAACATTGTTCACCTCATCTCCATGCGCAACTGGTTATGGTAAGGCTAAATGGTAAAATGGAAGAGAAAATTGCAACATTTCACTGAATGAGACCAATTTTCAGTCTGTCAATGAGTCTTGACATGTCACCAATCTTATAACCCATCTGCAAAATGTCCTAAGAGTGGAACATAATTCCAGAAATCTTTAGAATGAAAGGGTCAGCTCTAAAGAGAGTGTCAAGAGGACTGCTAGGAAGAAAACAAATACCTGTGAGATTTGGAAGAGCATCACTGGCAGAGAATGCAACCATTCATTAGGAAGGAGTAAAACTGTGAAGGGTTATTGGGGTATATGTTCAAGAAACATAGAATGGCCTGGGTTGAAAAG